TTTTTCAAACTCGCATGAGTATTTGAGGCTCGATCCTAGTCTAAAAGGAGGTCAGTTAAAAATTGTTGTCCTGAACTCTGTGGGTATATACACATCACTTTTTCACAAGGAATGCTATAAAAACGCAATTTTTCGGTTTTGCTGGGAAAGCACTGGATATTGCTCCCTACATTTTCTTTCACATTCATTCCGATATAATTAATTACGATCTCAAGCATCAGCAAAGCCCGGATGACTTCTCTTTTTTGGTGAAGGTTATGTTTCTTATGCCGTTCAAAGTGAAGGTCACTAGGATAACCAATTGCTCTAAGTATCGATGGTATGGCACAACAGAACTCGATCAAATTGGTGTGGCGAAGACTATGTAATTTTGAAGAGTAATAATGACGTTTTTAGTCGTTCGTGGCTGAGTCAGTTCTACATTCCGTGAATGGTCGCGACCCAACGAGAATCGACAAATTTGCCGGTTATTATGGGTTTGTCATTATCTCTCAATGTGATTTTGACAAATAAAACATGAATCGGTTTTCAGGCAAGCCATATGTTGTGCTGCTTATATGATAGCTTGCTTATTTGCACCATCAATACTCACGATACTTCCTCCAAAATGGACACTTTTTCTGGGTTCTGTCTGCTATACGCTATATCAAATTGGATTCCTCTATTTGAATAGATATTATTACTATATTTCTTGCGTAATTATAGGAATTGGCTTTGCGCGTAAGTTCTTAGTAGTTGTGTCTCAAAGCAGTGATTATAAAGGACCGTTTTAGTGTTTTATTCTGGACATGGAGCTTATTTAACTTCCCACTCCACTAGGAAGACGATCGAGCAGAATTCTGCTATCGCTTGGTCGATTGGATGCTTATGGTAGATTTCGGATAGCCTAAAATTTGTCCAATATTATTTATCCTAAAATATTTAAGCATGATCGTGGGATCTGGTATTCTTGGAATAATTTTCTCTTTAAATCATAATGTGATCAACTTCGTCGTCAACTCCAATATCACCGCTGAACATACGCCAATTGGCTACCGGCAATTTTCTGACACAGAAATACAGATGATGTATGGAATGTTTGCAGCCGTCACGTTTTGTGCAAATCTGATTTTTGCTTTATCGCCTTCTCGTGAAGTTACGAATTGTATTGAAGGCAAATGTAACAAAATCAAGAGAACCTTCAAGCAAGAGCTAAGTAAGCAAAATGGACTTTTTGAAAAAAATTATGCAAATTTGACCATTTTTTTACAGATCAAGTGATGCTGACTTTCGCCGACAAGAGGATGATCACTCTCACACCGCTCTTCTTTCATAATGGTTTTTACACAATGTTTTGGGTTTGCGTTTATCCAACGACTTTGGTGTTTTCCAAAACCCTATCGAATCAAATTTATCTTCCCGCCATCTACAGTTTCACTGTCGGTGCAGGAGAAATCACAAGTGAGCACTAGCGAACATGGAGTGGAGTACGATATAACGCCACCAGCTTCAGGAGCGGACAACTGGCACAAACTATGCGTCTTTGAACCTTACAGTTTGTGCCAATTGTCCGAGGTAAACAATATTGGCTGTGTAATGTCCTCTGCCTCAGAATTTTCTAAATATGGCTGCATAAACCCTCTATTTTGCAGTGGGAGTGATCATAAGCGTCATGTCAAAGCGGA